CTCAGAGTTCTCAAACTCAATCTCAAGAGGGAAGACCTCTCCCCTGTAGGTCCAGTTTACCACATCCGGGACGAACTCAATGTCCAGAACACTCACTCGCAATCTGGCCACCCCATGGGCACGAGTGAATGTCATATCTACTTTCTCAGTTTTGCCAACCAAAATACCCAGACTGGCCACCACACGAACATCAGCCAGAGCCTCAGAAGGTGCCCCAGAAAAACGCAGCCACACCTGAGTAAGGGGCTTCCCCTTAGGCTCCACTTTCTTCCACTCTTGAAACTCCAGAATGCAATTAGTACCTGGTACCTTACAGATCCCAAAGCTCAGCAACCGCCGCAAGTCCTCTACCGACGGGAGGTCAACCCTGAACACGCGCTCCTCAATGAGAACAAGCTCCCACTGAAAGTCTCCCGGAGCCAGTTCCTGAAGTCTCTGCACAATCTGAGCTTCAGAGACCTCTCCCTGGGTCACCTTCACAATCCCAGTAGTCAGGCTCTGCGTCTTAACTGGAATCTCTCTCGCAGCTGGGGACTCAAAGAACATCAACTCGGCACAATATACTCCATACGTTATAAGCGCCGGAGCCTGCTCACGAAGAAGCGGGCAATCCCTCGAGATATGAGCTGGCTTACCACAAGTATCACACAACTCAGCCACACACTCAGCAATGAAGTGACCTTTCTCACCACAGCGATAGCAAAGCATTTTCTCCTTCCGACGCGCCCACTTGGAAACCCTCTCAGACTCAGACCTGATATCCGCGTCAACAGAAGCGGTAGTCATATCCACATCTGTGGTCGCCAGAGCCGTGACAGCCTCCATAACCTCGCTCGTCAGGGCGGTGTCCTGAGTGGGATTGCCTCCACCCCGGACGCCTGCTGGTCTACAGGGTCCTGTGGCTGATGCTGTCCGTGGAAACCACGACCACCACCTCGACCACGACGACGACCACGGTAGCCACCTCTCTGTCATGTGTCTGGTCCAGAAGCGCCCTCGACAAAACCACCCGTAGGACCAAGGAAGGGCCTCTCAGCAGAACCATCACTCTGCCAGGCATAACCTCGGCCACCTCCCGTCGAAGACGATCCACGATGATGACCATCCCCATATGCATCATAGCCATCATCCCCCCACTGTCCTCGGGGCGGATCCGATGACTCGACAGTCACGTTGTCAAATCTCGTCTGCGTGCGATTGGAGCGATTTTGCATCGGCCTCGCGATGTAATGAGGCGGCGGCGCTGCTCGAGACTGCACGCCGGCATGGGTTGTCTGAGCCACCGGCCTTCCCCCATCAACATGGCCAACCGGTCTAGGGCCATTGTGCACCGCGGCCTTGGCGGAGGTGCTCCACGCCCCACGACGGAAGAAACCGGAGGCCTCGGCGGAGGTGCACCACGGCCCGCGGTGGCCGTCGAAGATGGGGGCACTGGCGGCCTCACTCCGGGCAGTGCGCCAATCCCTCGGCCCGTCGTGGACGCAGCCGCACC